TAGTAATGAGCATCTTTCCATGTGCTTGTTGCACGTTCATAATCTTTGGAGAAATGTCTGTTCACATCCTGATGGCCGTTTTTTTCCATGAAAACCTAACTTTCCCAGAATGTGTGTGATTTTCAAAGTATATCTGCTTGATACTGGAAATAGTTTTAGTAATTTAAAAACTACAACGGGGTTTGTTTAAGATGAGGGCTCCAGCCATTGTAGTGAGTGAGTCAGTTTTCTTGGGTCTCTCCCAAGAAATGTATATGTGTTACTAAACTTTTTCTTCTGTTTAAAAAACAAAAAACACCGAGTACTCTTTCCAAGTTGTTGCTGCATTTCCCGCAACGTTCTTTCCTATTCAGGGAAGCAGGATGTTTTCTTTAACTCCTGATCCCATCAGCCATCGGGCTGCAGCCGTTGCCCAGGGCAGATGTTTGACCTCAGGGTCCTGCGGCCCAGGCCCACGAGTGGAAGGTTTTCATCTTTGCCAAGATGATGGGCTTTGTTGGTGACGGGGAGGGGCCCTTCCTTCCTGTTTGCCTGAGGCCGGGTGTCACCCATGCAGGCTGTCCTGCCTGGCCGTGTGTCTGGCTCTGGTGCAGCGCTGTGTGACCGTCTATGGCACCCTGCCCTCCTTCCACGACATCGTGCAGCCCCTGCGAGCCCTCCTGATGGAGCACCTGGCAGCCCGCAGCTGCCCGCCCGAGCTCCAGGTGAGGCCTCCCATGGCGCGGCCGTGTCCCGGAGTTGGGGCAGGCTGGCGGGCGTTTCTGTCACCGGGGTTCTGGCGCTAGGAATCAAGGCCAGCCGCCCCCCTCAGCCTGGGCAGCGGCTCCAGGCCCCGCGCCCCTCCCAGGTCACTCGGGTTCTGAGGATGGTCCCACTGCCCTGCACCAGGCGACAGGAAGCCATGAGGGGCACCTGCCTTTTGGCCTGGGGGCTCCCCTCTGTACGAATGGGCTGGTCCCCATCGTGTGCTCCCCACATTCCTCTGGGAGAGACCGTTCTGTTGCTCAATGGGTCTGTGGGTCTGAAGTCCCACCAGGCCAGATGCCACGAGGACGCTGCAGGAAGGTGGAAGCTTCGTGAGAGCTGGGCCGTCTGGGCACAGTGGCTCTGCACCTGCAGTCGCCGGGCCCAGGGGAAGGGGCGGCCCGGAGGGAGGAACTCCGGAGGCCACGGTGGGCAGGCCCGGCGGTGTCAGCTTTCCTCACGTGTCAGGAGCTGAGTCGGAGCATTTTGACGGAAATGGAAAAGCAGCCGAAGCACTATCGGCCGCTGGTCTGTGAGAAGAGCAAGCCGGTGCCGCTGAAGCTGTTCACCCCCCGGCTGGTCAAAGTGTGAGTACGGAGGCCTCCCAGCACCCCAGCCCCAGAGGGGCCTGGGGAGTCCGGGGCTGTGGCTGGGGGCGGCCCTGACCGGGGCCTGGCAGGCTCTGGGTGCGCAGACCCTGCGCCCTCAAGGCCGGCTTTGCACCTTCAGCCTCGAGTTTGGGAAGAAGCAGGGCTGCACAAAGGAGGAGCAGGAGAGGAAGAGACTGATCCACAAGCACAGGCGAGAGTTTAAAGGCGCCGTCCGGGAGATCCGCAAGGACAACCAGTTCCTGGCCCGGATGCAGCTCTCGGAGATCATGGAACGGTGAGGGGCGACGGGGTCTGGCAGGGGCTGGTGTGGGTGCTGGGCCGGGGTGAGGGCGGGCCACGCGGATGTGAACTGCTATTGAGTCAGATAGGAAAAAGGGCAAGATGTCCTCCAAAATGTATCCAAAAATGGGCTTTTTTTTTTTTTTTTTTTTTTTAAAGGGACGCGGAAAGAAAACGAAAAGTGAAGCAGCTTTTTAACAGCCTGGCCACACAGGAAGGTGAATGGAAGGCTCTGAAGAGGAAGAAGTTCAAAAAATAAATTATGTTTTATGAATCAGACAAGGAGATGCTATGTAATGAATGCCGTAAGGGGTGCTGTAGCGTCAAGGTATTTTCCTGTACTTCGCTTCATGTTAAAACGCCTCTCCTGACATATTGCACTTTGGGAACACGGCCAAGCCTCTGTGGGAGCTACATGCGGATAAACTGAGAATCACCTCTATTCCTCACTTCCAGACAGTCCTCAGTTAATCACGAGGCTTGGGACTGATGGGATTCAGGCTAATGTTTTTGGTCAACCAAGCGTATTTGCCTTGAGGTGTAGAATTCAGTGTTACTTAATGTTACATGAATTTTCAGTCATCAGTGAAACAAGTTTGCACATAGTTTAGAAATCACCCGTAATCCCGGCACCCCAGCAGCCATGATCGGCTTTGCCCCAATCCATACCCAGTCTTGATTAATGCTTTGGAGTGCCAGGCCGCTGTGAAGGCAGGAGGGGTTGGGCTGCATCTGCATTGACCCAGGAGGCTTCATAAAGACACAGGAGCCACCTGCCCGCCCTCGCGGCGCTGGGGGCTACGGCCTTGCACAGAATGCTGCCTCCCTGCGGGGGTGCAGAGGTGCCCTGCCCCCAGTCTCTGTGAGGCACTGGTCCTCACACCCCAGGTGACCATGCGGCACGTGGCAGAGGCCTCACCCTCAGCTGGCAGCCCTGCCGGGTGGCCCTAACACTCAACATCAAGAAACCCATCCTTGGGATTTCCCTGGTGACACAGTGGTTAAGAATCCGCCTGCCAATGCAGGGGACACGGGCTCAAGCCCTGGTGCGGGAGGATCCCACATGCCATGGAGCAACTAAGCCCGTGCGCCATAACTACTGAGGCTGCACTCTAGAGCCCACGAGCCACAACTACTGAAGCCTGCGCGCCTAGAGCCCGTGCTCTGCAACAAGAGAAGCCACGGCAATGAGAAGCGCATGCACTGCAACAAGGAGTAGCCTCCGCTCGCCGCAACTAGAGAAAGCCCGCGCAGCAACGAAGAGCCAACAGAGCCAGAAATAAATTTTAGAAAATGAAGCCCATCCCCGAGGTCACAGCCACAGAAGTGACCACGGAGAGATTGAAGGATTAGCGAGACTGGACATGTGGGAAGAGGGTAACTGATTCTGGCTCCCCCAACAGGGAGGCTGGTGGGGAGAATCGGGAGTTTGATTTGGGGCGCTGTTAGGCCGTGTTGGGGCTCAGAAGGGCAGAGGGACAGGGCCAGAGCGCCCCCTGGTGGCAGGCGGAAGGGACAGATGAGACCACGTTGGATGAGATTTCTGCATCTTTACCTTTTTTCTAGGATTGTTCAGAGATAGGTGTTTGCCAGGTGCGTGGCTCCACAGATCTCGAAGGCCCTGGCAGGTGTCGGGGCCACAAACGGGGCTGGCTTCACCTCGCTGTGTAGGCCTGGCCTGCTGTTAACATCGTGCAGACTCAAGACTCCACCCTCACGTAAACTCTCCTGTAGCTGTTGCTACTTAAATTCGCCAAGCCGCTGATCCCGGGTGGCGGTGGAACGTGCCAGCAACAAGCTGATAAAGCCCCAGCTTTGGGTCCTGGGTCGCCCGAGCACACCCACCTCTGCCCACCCTGGCCTCTCCACTCCACTGCAGGGACAGTCCTTGGAAATGTCAGTATCCATGTGGATGGCCCGTCCCAACCCTGCCTCCTACTCCTTGCCAAGGGGCGTATGTAGAAGGGGTCGTGGAAGAAGGTGGTTATGAAGCCAGAGTGTTTCCATGTGAGTACATCTGCCGACATATTGCCCAGCTCTTCCTCCCCTCTGCCGCGCGCCCACCAGCTCTTACCTCCGCTGTGTCACGTGCAGGCTTCTAAGGGGGGGCAGCACGGCTCAGGTGGAAGAGGCGAGCATCCCCTGAGCCTCCATAAAGGAACGCGTGTCCTCAGGGAGAGCTAACACGTGTTCTCTTTGGTCGTAGGTGGAACAATTATATGTTAGGCAAAGTGTGACTGCTTGGATGTTTGAAATTTAGTGTCGTTTTCGGAGAGGTGCATGAGTGCTGAGCTGACGGGGTGGACTGTCCTTCCGGATAGTTCGGCCACAGACGCCTGAATTTCAAGGGACGGAAGGGAAGCAGGAGGTGCTGGCAGGTCCAGAAGTCCAGAACCTCCAGCTGCCGTTGGGTCTCCCCCGGCGCGGCCCCAGGACCGAGCGCGCCCTGGGGGCACCTGCTCCTCCCCGCTGACCCCGGGGCAGGCGGGGCACCGGAAAGTCCTGACCTCACGCCCCCTCCTCCTCCTCGCCGGCCCGGCCGAGGCCCCAGGGTGGGCGAACCCGCGCCCCCGCGCATCTGCGGGCGTATTTTGGACGGGAGTGGACGATGTGAGGAGGGTCCGGTCAGGGTGGACCCCGCCCAACGGCCCTCCAGACGGAGCGCCCAAAACCCCGAGGTCCTCAGCGGGCGGGTCGTCACTCGGGCGCAGTGTCCGGGGGCAAATGGAACTGTGGCCTGTCAGGCGCCTCCGGTTGGATCCCTTCCCACCGGTAAGCCGCTGCCGGACCCGTTATAGGGCCAAGTCGCGCGGCCTTGGAGGACCGGCCGAGGCCCCGCCCAGCGGCCGGAAGAGGGCGCGCAGGGCCGCCCACTTCCGACTGGGAGACACGCCCACTTCCGGGCGGGCGTGGCGTGGTCGGCGTGCGCTGTCCGCCCGCCGGTCCATTCCGCTTCCTTCCGTCCGTCCGTTTGTGCGGAGCGCGGAACCCGCAGGTGCAGGACGGGACGGGGCGCGCGACCAGGGATGGGCGGGTGTCTTGTTCTCCGGCTCGCGGGGCCGCCCCCGCCGCCCGCCCGGGCCTCAGTTTCCCCAGCCGCTCCGCCCGGGACCGTGGGGTGGCGGCGGGGGCGGGGAGGTACCGGAGCCGCGATGCCCCACCCCGGCCCCTGGGACGGTTGGCCTCCGGGGCTGCGGCTTCTTTGCGTAACGCCCGCAGCCTGCGTTTCCTGCTGCCCAGGGTCGGGGGAAGGGTGCACAGAGGGACTCCTGTGTTGGGTCACGGGGCAGGCAGACCCTTTAGGCGCTCGCTAGCTCTTCGCGGGTTTGGGGCACGGCGGGAGCTGGGGACTGTTTTCCCCCCCAGGTAGGTGGGTGTGGGGCTGGGGTACCCAAACGTGCCCTCGTGCGACGTGCCGTCTTGCAGAGCCGCCACACGCTCAGCCAGGCCGGATCGGAGCGGCCCCCATCATGGGCTGGGGAGCCGGCGGGAGTTGCACCCCGCGCCCGCCCATCCACCAGCAGCCGGCACCCGAAACCCGAGTGGTCGCTGTGGTGTTCCTCGGCCTCCTGCTGGACCTCCTGGCCTTCACCTTGCTGCTGCCCCTGCTGCCTGCGCTGCTGGAGAGCCACGGCCGTGCGCAGGTGAGCACCCCCGGTCCCGATGCCGCTTCACCCCCGATGGATGTCCATTGTTCCAAGCCCCTCAGGGACTCCCCAGCCCGTCACACTTCCTTGTGCCCTAGGATCCTCTTTATGGCTCGTGGCAGCGCGGGGTGGACTGGTTTGCTTCAGCCATTGGGATGCCAGCCGAGAAGAGGTACAACAGCGTCCTGTTCGGAGGTATGGTTCTTGAGCCGGGGCTGGGGGCCCATTCGGGTCCTGCCTTCCTGGTCCCTCCCTTCTCAGTCCCAGGTCTTGGTTCTCATATTCTCGCTCCTGGGTACTGTCTGTTCTTTCTCCAGGTGGGCGGTTTTGGGGCCGTCTCAGCTCAAGGTCCACGGCCTGGGGGTGCAGGGCCCAGCATGGTCCGACTCTTGGGGACTGGGCAGCGTGGTGACTGTGATCTCTGTGTCTTCCAGGTCTGATTGGTTCCATCTTCTGCTTCCTGCAGTTCCTGTCAGCGCCCCTCACGGGGGCCATCTCTGACTGCCTGGGGAGGCGCCCCGTGATGCTGCTGTCCCTGGTACGGGTGCCCACAGACGGGAGCTTCTTCCCGCCCACCAGCAGGGCCCCTCGTTGGCCCTCGTTGCCCCCTGGGGGTGGTGTTTGGGGGGGCAGTGGCTTCTGTGGCTAAGCGAGGCTGTGCCAGAGTTGCTCCTGCCACGGGGACGTTGGGAACACAAGTGGCCCTTGGATGCTGCAGAACAGGGCAGGGTCCCAGGGCACTGCTTGGGCTCGCTGGCCCCACTGTGGGCTCCTCCTGGCCTCCAGTGACCATGCCTGCCCTTGGTCCCTGCCCTGAGGCAGGCAGGCCTGGCCACCTCGTATGCCGTGTGGGCCAATTCGAAGAGCTTTGCGGCCTTCCTGGCCTCCAGGATGATTGGGGGCATCAGCAAGGGGAACGTCAGCCTCTCCACCGCCATTGTCGCCGACCTGGGCTCGTCTCCTGCCCGCAGCAGGGGCATGGTGAGTGCACTCTGGGGGGCTTAGCGGGTGGAGGGGCTCCAGGGCCTGGGTCTCCCTGCTTGGCTCAGGCAGTCTTCTCCCCAGGCAGTCATCGGGGTGGCCTTCTCTTTGGCCTTCACACTGGGCCCCATGCTCGGCGCCTCCCTGCCCGTGGAGACGGCGCCCTGGTTGGCCCTGCTCTTCGCGGTCTCCGATCTGCTGTTCATCTGCTGCTTCTTGCCAGAGACGCTGCCCCCAGAGAAGCGGGTAAGGTGGGAGCCAGACAGGCACAGGGGCTCGCTTCCGGGGCCTGCGGGGAGGCCCGTCGCGGGCCCAGGTGCTGGGGAGGCCGAGCTGCCCGCTTCTGGTGTCCAGACGCTCTTGGGACCACAGTGCCTCCTGGGGCCCCTGCGTTCCCCAGACCCCCTACACCTCCAAAGCCTGGCAGGTAGACTGGGGGCCGGGCCTGCCAGGGCCTTGCAGGGGGCAGGGACCAAGCAGGTTCGGGTCAAGCCCCCTCCCCCCAGGCTGCGAGGCCTGGGGACGCCACCAGCTTCATCACAGGCTCCTCAATCCTGTCCCCTCCAGGCACCGTCCATCACGCTGGGCTTCCGAGCTGCTGTTGACCTGCTCAGCCCTCTGGCCCTGCTCTGCTTCTCAGCCGTGGCACGTGGCCCGGACCCGCCCACCGGAGTCAGTAAGGAGCAGGCCCCCCTCGTGAGCGTGGGGCTGTGGCTCCCTCGGGCTGCCCAGCGTCCCCCCGCCAGCTGCTCGGGGCCCCCTTTCCGCTGACGTGCCTTTCCGCTGCTCCGCAGGGCTGGGCAGCCTGCGCCTGCTGGGCCTGGTCTACTTCCTCTATCTTTTCCTGTTCTCGGGCCTGGAGTTCACGCTGAGCTTCCTCGTGCACCAGCGCTTCCAGTTCAGCAGGTGGGAGTGTGGGGCCCCTGCCAGGACCCTGCCTGGGCACGCCCTGCCCTCTCCCCATCCCGAGGCCCCGCAGCCCCGCTGCTTCAGGGCTGACTCCCACCTTGGCCTGTCCCCCGGGGCCCAGCCCGGGATCCCGGGGCGGGCGGTGCCTCGCGCCGAGGACGGGTGACGCACGGGCCGTCACCCAGGCTGCCTGGGTCTCCGTGTGAGCAGCACGGGCGCAGCAGGGAAGGGGTGCTGACAGCTCGCCCCTCCCAGCCTAGAGCAGGGAAAGATGTTTTTCTTCATCGGCCTCACGATGGCCACCATCCAGGGCGCCTACGCCCGGCGGATCAGCCCTGGCGGGGAGATCGCAGCTGTGAAGCGGGTACGGGGGCTCCCCTGGGCGTGGGGGCAGGCGGCGCCCCGAGCTCTGCAGAGGCAGCGGGGTGGTCCTGAGACCAGCTGTGCCGCCCGCAGGCCATCCTGCTGCTCGTCCCCGCCTTCCTTCTCATCGGTTGGGGGCACACGCTGCCCGTGCTGGGCCTGGGGCTGCTGCTCTACTCCTTCGGTGAGTGGCCCTGCCCAGGCTGGCGGGGGTGCGGTCAGGGGCCGGCGGCCGGGAATCCTGGAGGGTCGCACCCCTGTCGGCCCCTCCTCCAGGCTGACGGGCGCCTCCCTGATGTCCCCTACCAGCCGCTGCCATCGTGGTGCCCTGCCTGTCCTCTGTGGTCGCCAGCTATGGTGAGAGGCCCTTCCCTTGCCTGAGGTCACCCTGGGTGGCCCACAAGCACCTGACGGCCTCTCCCCTTTCCCCCACAGGCTCTCCCGGGCAGAAGGGTGTGGTCATGGGCACGCTGCGAAGCTTGGGCGCCCTGGCCAGGGCTCTGGGGCCCATGGTGGCCGCCTCAGGTGAGGGCCGCGCGACAGCACTCGGGGCGTGCTAGGCGCTTGGAGAGGCCCCGCCAGGCCAGGGGGCTGCTGGCCCGAGCTGGAGGCCACACAGCCCCTGCTGGCGGCCTTGGTCCCAGCTACTGAACCCCTGGCTCAGCCCCACTGTCCTGTGGGCAGGGACCTGGGCGGGGACCGTCGCCATCACCCACTGCTGTCTCCACAGCGTACTGGCTGGCCGGGGCGCAGGGCTGCTACACCGTGTGCGCGGGGCTCTTCCTGCTCCCCTTCTCCCTCCTGCGGAAGCTGAGACCGGCAGCAACGCTCAAGGCCGAGTAGCTGAGCCACGCCTACCCCAGAGCGGGGCAGCCAACGCAGGGAGTGGGAGGCCTGGGCCAGGACGGCTCCCCACTGCCCGCCTGACCCCTCCCTCCCCGCCCCCCAGCCTGGGGCGGCCCAGGACTCGCACTTGTGCCTGTGACACTCCTGTGTGGACCTGCCTGCTGGGATCAGACTCCGAAACCTTCCAGGCTTTCTGTTCACTTGTCTTTTATACTTAGTGACACACAGCGTTCAGCCAGGCCTCTGAATGACCAAATAAAGCAGCTGTTTTATACCCAGTGCCTTCCTCCAGTGCACAGCTCTGCCTCGACACACCCACTGCCCAGGGAGACCCCCCCCAGGCACCAGGAGAAGCAGCTTGAGCTGAACACACATTACAGCTCCACGGTCCGGAAGAGCACGAGGCTTTGCCCAGGCCCGTTTCCCTCCCTTCTGCACTGTAGGGAGGGGTGGACAGGCAGATGAAGGGCTGCCCCTGCCCCCGCCCCGGGGTCAGCGCTTACCAGGTGGTACATGGGGGGTGTCCTGCACCCTGGCAGACTGGGGAGGAGCGACCCTTCCGCTTGCCCCCCCCCCCCCACCTCGCCTGGACCCTGTCCTCCGCGCCCTGTGGAAGAACAAGCGGGCACTGGGGCAGGGCACTTCCAGGTAGAGTGTCCTCCGTGGTCCAAAGTGACAAACTGCGTGGGATCTTTTTTTAAAACATAAGATAAACTTCTGAAGCCCTATTTTAAAGGAACAAAGAAAAGGAATTAAGATGCAAGACTGCTTCCCAAGTTTAGACAAGGAAACTGCTTAAAGAATTTTATTTGTGAGTAAAACATGTTACAGTGAAGAAAGGCTGTAGAAGTTGTCCTCCCGAGCCTGTGTCTGTATATGCAACTAAACTTCATGTTGTAATACAAAGAGTTAAACTACAAAAATGAAATTAAAGTCATTGCATACTTGGGGTCAGAAAAAGGGATGAAAGGAAGAGCCCATGGTTAACTGAGGTGCAGGGTGAGGGTGGAGAGCTCTACCACCATCTTGGCAATGGAACGATACACAGGAGAGAAGTGGCTTGCCTGCCAGTAAGCTCAAAGCAGAGGTCAGCGCCATGCAGCCGCTTCAGGTCCTGCCTGGGTGTCGAGTGTGTGGGACCTGAGCCCACGTCGGGCACTGGGTCCCCCGAGGGCCCCTCCCCCCTCCTGGGGACCTGTCTGGGAGACAGGCTGGCACTGGAGCTCCTGGGACAGGTCGCTGTCGAAGAGACACCTGGCCACCCACTAGTTCCCACTAAGCAGCTAGCCGCTATCTTCCAGGGATGTGAGTGCAGTGAAATTCACTGTGGCGCTGGAGGGCAGGAGGTGGGCTCCACTAGTGACTGCACAGGGCGTCAGGTGGGACCCCTGGGGCCAACTCCTACCCCGAACTGCCTTCTGTCAAAGTGAGGGTACCCTCCAGGCCGAGCCGAGCCGCGGTTAAGAGCAGACCCCCCAGGACAGCGCGTGGAGCCCTGCTGCGCTCTGCCACAGGCCCTGGGGAGAAAACGAAGCACAACACAGACCGTTCGCTCACAGTGTGTAGGGTGAACTGCAGACTTTCTGAAAGAACATCTAGAAAGCACTCTTCCCCTCCTGATGCACCTTCCCTATGACAGGGAATCGAGAGCCCCCAGTGAGTAAGGAACGGAGCCCCAAGTCTGGCTTTGGCCGCGGGGGGCCGGTGAGACCATGCATAGGTTACCTGGGTGTACACAGGCCTGTCCGCTGCTGGGACTGCCGGCTCAGCCCAAACCCACCTCTCAAAAAGTCCGCCACGGTGGCCTGGGCTATTGGCGGGGACACGAGTGTTCTCACAGGACCAAGGCTTTGTGTATCCGAACAAATGAGATCACTGAGCAGATAATGCCAGCAAGAAGCTACAGGTATGATGCAGTCACCCGAGACCTCGGGCTGAAGGGAGCCTAGCAGAGGTGGGCCGCGGATTACTTCACAAGAGAAGGACAGCAAGAGCGGTGGAGGCCAGAGCTGGCAGGGCCACCCCCGACCCAGCCAGAACCCGGACTTAGCTAAGCCCCTGGGGACAGCGTGTCCCCGAAGGGCTCATGAGATGGGCCGAGATGCTGGTCCCTGCAGGGCAGGGCTCGGAGGTGGACGCAGAGACCAAGTCTCCCCCAGCACCTGAGGCTGCCGGCTGGGCCGCTGCGCGCGCACAAGGTTAGCACCGGTCTCCGTGGGGATTCGGTCACGCCGCGAGGGGAGTGCTAGCTATGCAGGGGTGGGCCTTTTGCATTCCATTACACAAGAAGACAGGGCACAAGACACAATCGGGGACAGCCTGGTGGCATCGGTTTGTGCAGGAAGGGCCTTCAGGAGTCACTCCTTTTCTTGCTCTTCTTCAGGAAGGAGGGAGTGCGGAATTTCTTCTTCTTTTTGGAGGGGGACTTGCCCGGAGACCCATCACTGCCAGGGTCCACAGCAGCCCCCTCCTCGGCAGCCGGGGCGGCGGCCTCGTCACCTGCCTGGGCTGTGACTGGCTCAGGGATGGCCGCTGAAGGGGACCTGGTGGGGCCTGCAGGGCCCCCGGCTTCACAAAGCCCCTCTTCCTCCTCCTCCTCCTCCAGTGTCGGGAAGCAGAGCGCTTCTGAAGGCTCCTCAGGGGACAGGTCAGGGAGAGTCTGCGTGAAGGTGGCGGCATCGCTGTTGTCTCCCGAAGCCGGCTCCTGCGGCAGGTCTGGGGGAGGGGTGGGAGAGGCGGGGTTAGAGAGCGACTGCCTGGACCTCCCAGGGGGATGGCCAGCGCCCTGCACCAAACAAGAGTGAGAAGCTGTCAGCAGGATCTACTCTGCTTCAGGCTGGCTGCAGCTTACAGTGCAAAACGGGGGCTCAACCTCAGGGTGGTTTTTAGCTCCTTCTCATGGAGAACGTGCTGACAAAGCCAGACACCGTCCCAGGGCTTCGGTCCCCGGTCACAGAGATGGTGACGAAGGCAAGTAGAAACATTTTCAGTATTGCAACGTCTGCGCTAAACACCTGAACGCTTTTAAAGGACATGTGTTAGTAATCCTGAAGTCAAGCCTAAATTTGTATCCACACCTGGTCTCCCCCAAGGAGACAACTATGTAAAGCTGCGGCAGCTGGTAGAAAACTACGAGCTGATTCCCAGACCAACATCAACACCAAACAAAGGCCATTTTAGGCTGGAGAGTTAAAAAAGAGATGAACGCTAAGGGAAGGGACAAAAAATTCAAGCCCCCTTAACAATTTGAACATGGAAACATAAAAGAACCAAATGGAACTTACTTTAAAGAAACAGCCTGAGGACTGGTTTCTAACTGACCCTGGGGGAAACCAGTTTTGTAGATTTTTTAAAATAGTCCACCAAGGTACCAGCCACTGGCAGGTTAGGTAACAGCAAACCTTCAGTGCCTGGAAATCTAGCCAAACGCCCGGAGGTGACCAGAGGCTGGGCTGAGCTGCGGAGGCGCGGCTGCACGGGACTGGGCGGGAGCAGTTAGGACTCACTCCGCGAAGCATGCAGAGGTGGCCTGTGGGTGCTCAGGGGAACTCTGACCATCTGACAAATGTCACATTGGGAAAACAGCACTAAATGTCACTCTTCCACCCCCTCAAATTAAGCTTAAGCACCCAGTTTAAGCAGAGATCCAAACACATGCGACCCCCGTGCAGCAGGGGGCAAAATCCCAGCCTGAGTCTAGTGTAGACTTGTCTCGAAGGCTCAGCAGGACCACGTGGTCCTTCTGAAACTTCTGAGACCCAGAGTGCTTGGAGCAGTGCCACCTCGGCCCTGGGGGGACTCGAGGACAGGCTGCCCACCGCACAGCTCAGGGGGACCCAGCCCCTTCCAGGAAGGCCACTGCCCAGAATGGAGGAACTGGGTAGAAGAAGGGCCTTTGTTTTTATTTTGAATAAACAAAAAACAAAAATTAATAAGCAACAAAGAAGCAGAGGAATGAGGCAAAGCACAGGGAAATTCCAATTAAACAGCAGAGGGCCAGGCAGCAGGCGGTACTTACTATGGTAACAGGTACTCTTTAGCACATCCACCTCCTGTTTGTAACGCAGCCACAGGAAGAGAAAAGCACAGGTAGAGAATCTATGCATTCAGTCACAGCCATCGGGTTACAGAAGGAGAATGGCCAGGCCATTCTTGTGGACACAGAAAAGGGCAGGAGGTGGGCCACAGGCTCCCGACAGGCACGGGAAGCACAACGTACAAGACCGAGGGACAGACACGCAGGCCACACGTCACAGAAACACGGTGGGTGGTCTGGGAGGCCAGGGGAGGCAGGCACTCTCCACGGACTGGGAAATATGGCCAAAGAATGCAGCCCTGTGGCCCAGACACAACAGAGGACGTTTCCGGGGCTGATCCGAGCACAGGAAGGTTTAGGAAACGTGCAAGCAGTGGGCAAAACTGACATCGAGAATGAAGGCAGGTTCCGATCCCCAACGACTGTCCTCCCACCTGTGACGTCACGCTAACGAATCTGTGTGGCCTCAAGTTACCCCGGACAGAACCAACACGGGAGCGGAGGAGGCTGGGCAAGCTCAGAGCGGATGATGTACTGGTTTCCATGCAAACGCACTCGGCTGTTACGTGTCAGTTCAACTACTGCCACACTCAGCTGCTTTTCTTACACAAAGCCACGAAGTTCGGCCCCTCCTGGCGATGCCGCCCCAGGCGGCCGTGCACCACCCTCCCACACGGGGCAGCCGCACACCCACCTCCACCCCAGGGCTCACCTTCCTCCAGCTTGATGGGGGCGCTCGGGGGAGCGTGGGGGGCAGCAGGGGGCTCTGGAGGGCTCTCTTCTTTGTCTTCTCTAGTCTCGTCCAGATTCTCTGCAGGTGCACAGAGGGCGGAAAGAGCACGGTGAAGGCCTTTGGACACGGCGGGCCTCCCCTCGCCCCCTCCTGGGCGGACGGGCCCTCCCGCCCTGCCCATCGGGCTGCCTCGGGGAGGGCGGGGGGGCGGGGTCGCTGCTCAGGCCGCAAGCAAGAGCCCAAGAAGGGAAGGGCTCGCAGCCGCTGGCCTCAACCTTTTCCCCATCCCTACCCAAGAGGACAAAGGAAGCCACTCCTGACTGGGCTGTGGATCTCGGTTTGAGAATCTGCCAGAGCTGCCTCTGTGACGGGCTGTGACCCGTGACCCCCCGCCTGTCCTCTCCTGTCCTCTAGTGAGGGGCCCCTCCCCATGTCCTCACCATCCTGCCTCTCCCACTGCTGGGCAAGAGCCCAGGGTCCCAAGCACCCTCGCCCTACTTGCCACCTCAG